AGTGTGGGCTCTGGAATCAGATGGCATGGGCTGAAATCAAGCACCGCTCTCACTGCGTGGATCGGGGCAAGGCAGGTTGTCTTTGTGAGCTTCACTGTCTCATTTCCCAAAGGGAACAAAATAACAGTGTGTATAAAGTAGCTTCGAGAATCAGTATTGCTTCCGGAGCACTGATAATAGTGACACAGTAAATTGGCACATTTTATTGTTCACTGGAACAAACTATGTTTTGTTTTAGAAGGCAATGGACCTGAAGCTCTTTTTGCAAGACTCGCTAAACCAATTCTTGTGCAATTAAGAAAAGGAAGAAGAAATTCAAAATCTCCATTTTAGTTTGACTCTGCAACTCAGATGAGCAATTTAAGCCAATTCAACATCTGGCCCAGATGAGCGATTTAAGCCACTTCAACATCTGGCAAAGAATCCAGTATCTGGCATCAAAGAATGATGCTAACACTAGGCACAAGTTTGCTCTAGATCAACACTTGCTAACGTGATAGGAGCACAAAGGACACCGATTTCTAGACATCTGGGAGTGGATCACAAAGTGCTCCAAGTACTCTGTTTTGCTTCATAGATTGAACCAGATACACCTTATGTAGGAATGCCTGCTCTGTAATGATAGGTTACTACAGTACACAGTTGTAATATCATTCCCTCGTGTAGGGAATGTCATTCATTCACTCATTCACTGAATATGCACGAGCTAAAGGCCCTCCATGTGCAAAGCACTGAGTAGATTGCTGGGATATAAGGATGAAATGAGTACTAAGGACCCATGGACAAAGCCAAAGTGAGGAAGGATTGAGGGTGGGAGGTGGGGGTGGGTGGGGAAGGGGAAAACGGTGCAGGGAAAATGGGGATGTATGTATTTGAACAAGAAAATAAAAAAAAATAATTTAAAAAAAAGATGAAATGACACAGCGCTTTCCCTCAAAGAGTTTACATACTGGTAAATGAGACAATATTGCACACACAAAACTGGGTAATATGTACAGTAATGGAGGCAAGTCCAATACACAGTTGGAGCAAACAGCAAGGGGTATCTAGTCAATTTGGGGAAGCCAGAGAAGGCTCTCAAAGGCGACAGTACCAGATCCAAGATTTGACAGATAGTCAGGAGTTCGTCTGATAGATAAAAACAACTGAGAGAGAGGGGCCTGAGACAGAAATCAGGTTGTTATTGCCTTTCAGGACAGCTTGGGTGCCGGAGCCAAGAACAGACCTGGAACAAAGTTAACACTATTTTTATAAGCTAGAAAAATATCAGCAGCAGGAGCCCTGGCCAGAACCGCCCCCACAAAGAGCAAACAAAGCTCCTCCTATCTTCTGGCTGTCTGCTGGGGAACTTACTAACCAGCACCTTAAGAACAAAATGTTCTTTTATCTTTGGTTTTCATTCCCACAAAGTCCTTCCTCTTCTTTTTCCAGCACTGGATAGAGCATGGGTTGAGTTTTACTTGCTCCTTTGATCTTGATCCTCTAGTCCCAGGCTTCTCCTGAGAATTAGAGTCGAGGAGGATTTCTCCAAAGCAGAATGCTGGCCCCTCCTACCAGTCTGAATGTGGGGTCGTGGGGGGCCAAGCCAGGTCAGTATTTAACAGGGACCATAACTGTTGGGGCTTGTTTTTGTGAGGCCTGGATGGCATCTAATTCTGACCTCCAAAGTTGGATTCTCACCCTGATATTCAGTGATCTTTTAGCACAGAGTTCACCTGACCATTTTTTGAGATTGTTTCTGATCTCTAAATAACAGCATCTTAAAGTAGTGAACGCTGCATTCTGTTACAGAGAGCCAGGGAAGGACAACTGGGGCTGATTCTGGGAAGGCAGATGGAATCCGCAAGCCTTGAGGTTCTTTTCCAACTGCCTCTCCAAAGGGATGAGAGCTCTCCTGGTACCCTCCTTCCCAGGGTAGTAACTCAGAGAACTTCCTTTTATAAAGCCCCTACTTTGTGCCAGGCATTGTGGTTTTGGAGTAAGAAAACCAAAGAGATACCTCAGTATTGCATGCCTACCATGAGCCAGATGCGATGTCAGCTGCTTTACCTACTTACATCATTAGTTCTCATAACAACCATGTAAGGGGCTCCTGCTCTCTCATTGCAGAAGAGGAAACAGAAGTGTGAAGAGGTATGATATCTGGCCCAAGGTACACAGGCAGGGAGAACAGGAATTTACATCCAAATATTCACACTCTGTGTTCAGAGCCCTTATCTTGGCATCTGAACCTTTTATTGTTGAGCTACAAACATGCAGGCCAGGAGAGAACAACCAGAATTTTCTCCTCAAAAAAAGGGGGGCTTTGTCTGCTGTGTTAACTGCTGATAATCCCCAGTGCCCAGACCAGTAACGGCCAGGTTTGCAAGCACTCAATAGATATCTTTAGTGACTACATGGTTGGACAAGTGGATAAACCTTTTAAGACTTTCAGGCCTCTGTTCTTCTGCATGTCCTGGTACGGGCACAGGCAGGATGGAGAACGAGCAACTGTTCACTCCCAGGCATCCCCTCTTTCCCAGACATGCAATCCTGAAGTGGCTGTTAGGTGAAGGGGAGGGTGGCAGTATGAGGAAGGATAAGAAGGATAAAACTTGGTCACCACAGTTAAGTAGGTCTTTCCTGTCCCACAGTCACCAAGAATCCCTCCCCTGTGCTCTTCCCAGCCACTGCTGGCCCCTAAGTGCAGCCCTTTAAGAATCTAAAATCCTTTTTCTATTTTTCCTCTTAAATAACTTACTTTTGGAAACTATAAGGGAAACTCATTAACTTAAGAGCATTTGTATTTTAAAAGGAACAAAAAGCCTCAGCCGAAATTTCTAAGGGTAAAATTTCCTTCACTGATTAGGAAAAGAGTGGGGCCATGTAAGGGCCTGGGTTCCTCCCAGTCCAATTCCCCAGCACTCTGAGTGTCTCCAGTCCCAGGTGCCCAAGAGGAAGCAGCTTCCCTTCCGGAGGGCGCAGTGAGTCCTCGGCAGAAGGAAGGGTGCGGGGGGCACTGGCAAGGAAATCGAGCCCTGAAGCTTCCTGAGGTGCAGCCCTCTTTCTTTCAGCCTCTGGTGGCCCAAGGCCAGTGCTTGCCCCCGGGAGGGCGTGGAAGGTTGAGACTGTCGCTCCGGGGCTAAGTGAGAAAGCATGATGGAGAAAGCTTCCCTGGCCTCAACCATGATGCCGTGGCAGGATGACTAGGGGACGGGAACCTGTCTAGATCACAAGTTCTCTCTGTGCCCGTCCTTGAAAACCAAAATCACGACATGCCAATCAAAAGCACATACTGCTCATTCTGAAAAAGGCAAGAAACACCCTTGTTTGTAATCACTATTATCTATCATTCAACCAGCTCACATGTATTATTGACTGTTCACTATATCTCAGGCAAAATGTTAGGTCCTAAACACACAGAGATGAGTAAGACAGACACATTCACAGATCCCTGAGAGCTATCCTACTCTGAAAGTCCATGGACTCTGTAGAAGAGCAAGACATGACTTAATAATCTGCCACATAAGGAAACAGATTAACTTTCACTCTACAGCGTAAGTCCATTTCACCTTCCTCTTGCCTTCATGTGACTTCGATCATTTAATAAATTGATCAAGCCCCTATAGGAATCAAGACACAGGGCTCCACACAGGTGATGCAGGATGAATAATATGATGCCCTGTCCTCAGGGAGCTCCGAGTCAAGTGGAAAAAACAAGCAGACAAAACAGTAATTACAACACAATGCGATCATTTCTTCAGCAGGGGTAGGTGAAGGTGCTGAAAGAAGTACAACTTCGAGAATTTCTAAATAAATCCGAATGTTCAATGGAAGGCTATGCAGAGGAGAGAGCAACCAAAAGGAGTCTTCAAGCTCTAGCAGCAGCGGAGGACCAGTCATGCTGGGAAAGGAAATACATGTGCAAAAACACAGAATTGTAAGGCTCAGGCAGAGCTTGGGGAACACAATTCTATCTAAGTACTTAAAGGATAACTCTCTCTTGGCTGAAATACTAAGTATAGACTCGAATGCATTTCAAACTTTTTTTTAACTCTGATCCACGGTGAGAGGTTCATTTTCCTCATGGCCCAGTATACACAAACACAGAGACATACAAAGGAAACGTAAGTTCCTAGAACAAAGCTTGCTATGTGCGATGTACTCTGTTTTCTACTCTGGTCCATTCTATCCTGAAAATCCAGTGGTCATGATCTATTAAATTGATCTCATGAGGTCTGAGCCATAATTTAAAACACACACACACACACACACACACACACACACACACACAAAAAAAATATGGCTATACTTAAGTGAGAGATACTGAGAATCTAACAGTCGCCCTTCACCACATCACCACTCCCTCCAAATGCAGTAGGGATAAAAAAGAGGATAGAGTTATCATACTTTACTGTAATCTTTATCTTATTTTCTGCCTTCCCATCCAATTTTGGAGAAGAGACTCTGATTCTATTTTAAATTCACTGTCCCCTAGCACCATGATTGAGACACGGTAAGCTTTCAATGGGTCTTTGAAATAATGAAGACATAATAAATGAATGCTAGGTTGGAGAGGTATTTAAAAATGAGATGAAACCAAGACTACACTCAAGTAAGTGGATATAGGATATAAGCCAAATATATTATGAAAATAAACCCATTAACTTATAAGAGTTTTGGAACACCATTAGAAAAAACAGTATAGGAAATGATAGCATCATCATACTTGCTCGTTGCAAGTTCACATGTCTTTCCAAAGAACCATCAACATATTGATTCAGATCACTTTTTCTATTATTATGTATGAAAAATTAATAAAATTATGTAGAAATTCTATATTTGATAAAAAGTTCTATAATTCTATCCAAATGCCTAACTGTGAAAAGGTTTTTATTTTATATCTTGAATCACCAGCCCTTGATCTTTTCTTTAAAAACAGCATAGGAATGCCTTCCGTTCTGGGGAATGATCCATGTGAAAACAGCGTTGGTAGTGGACACACAGTAGGAGATTATTACCTAGTCCTCCTGCATGCGCATCAATAAGTGAGGCTGCCACTGCAATCCCAGCAGGAAGGCCAAGGTCTTGCGCTGCCTCTGGTGTAAGCCCATTTCCAAGAGAAGCTCCAGGAGGCAGCACCTGGTTTCCTGGGTAGACAGGAGAAAAAACAAATACCTGTCAGTTTGAAAAACACAAAAGCAGACATAGGGTTTTCTTAAGAGGACCCTTCTGCCCCCTCCCCTTTCCTCTGCACTTCTTCAACTTCAAAAAGATAGAAGCCATGCAGCCACAAACAGTTTCTTTGCTCTTTTGATGACAGGTATATATTCTTGGTTCTTATGGATCATGTTCTGGGGTGTTTTACAAAGCAAGGAGCTCTAAGACATCTTTCTAACTGAAGAAACATTCCATTAATAGGATATTCCAAAAGATATGAGTGGGAGCCCCCCAAAACCCAGAATTGTTTTCTGTAGGGCAGGCCCTTTGTACTACAGGCTTCCCCCGCTAGGTGAGTGTTCTAGGAACCCATCTGCATCAGTGTACCAGCTGGCGTTGTTGTGAGAAGCTGCGTTCGGCTTCAGTTAATTTTTTTTTTTGAGGACTCTTTGAAAGCATTTGCCCATTTCATGATGGGCGATTTACAAATGCACCTGCCCACGCCATGCTGAGTGTTCAGCAGTTTTTGACCAAAAATGGCATGACCCCCATGCCTCAACTTCCCTATTCACCTCATTTCTCCCCAGCCACGTTTTGTTTCCCCAGATGAAAAAAGCCCTCAGAGGGAAAGATTTTGCTGATGTGGAAGACGTGAAACAAAAAACAGCTGAAGTACTAAAAGGCATCGAAATCTTCGAGTTCAAAAACTGTTTTGAGCCGTGGAAAAACCATCTTCATAGGTGTATTATATAAAATACGGAGTGTTTTGAAGGTGACTGAAGTTTAAACATGTAAGAATAAATACACAATTTTTTATAAATAAATTCTGGGTTTTGGGGTCCTCCCTTGTACATACTCAGTAGCCTTTAAGGACTAGATTAAAATGGTCAAACTGCTTCCTCCTAACAGAGCAGCTCTACCAGCATACCTTACACACACAAACAGTTCACATACCCATAAACACTTCCTGATGAACACATATTCCAAAGAAAGTTCAGAAAATTTACTCATGTAGTTGCTTCCCATCAGAGAATAACGAAGAAAATAAGTTTACTCCAATAAAAAATGTCTTTAGTTCTTCTCAGTTGCAAAAAGAAAGCCCAGTCTAAACTTTACAAGGCTGCTACTTGCACAACCATGTAATACAATTTGAATGGTGTTCTTTGGAGTTGTGCAATGCAACGACCCTGATATTTCAAGTGACCTTGAATTCCTGCAGTCAGTTAGGCCTTCAGTTAAGGATTTATGGATTGTCTTGCTTTGTGTGGGCGCCTGTAAAGGACTGTAAAAGGCAGTCCTTGCCCCCAGTCTAGTTAGGGAGACGAGAGAGGGACACAGAGAACCATGTGAGTCGGAACAGAATGAAGAGATCCATCTGTTCCCAGGTGTTGAGCAGAGGATAAGGACTCCTCCCCCCCGCTGCCAAGGAATCTATAATAAGTATTTCCTCAGCACAAGGAGGGGTGGGGGTAGACTGAGATATATCCTAAGAGTCCCCTGAGCTTGAAGATTCTATGATCCTGAATGTGTGGTCAGCAATTTGCTCGGTGCTAAGTTACCTACCACTTGTTAATTGGTCCCTGGAGCTCCAGGGATGGGCAAAGGCGCTTCATAACTTTGGGGGTGAAGGTGAGGGTGGGGGTTAGAGGGAGGCAGAGGGTGAATAGCTCACTAACGTCCTTTAATTGGACACAAAGCACCTCCACGACACATTTTTACCCATCTTAGTTAATAGGTTTCTATCTAGGATTGAATTTGAAAAAAGTTTAGCTAACAAAGGGAAGAAGACTGAAACCACTGCAATGGCTTCTAAAGGTTCATTATCCAATAATGGAAGCCACGAGGCACACACGGATTGAGCATTTAAAATGTGCCTGCTCACATGGCTCAGGTGATTGGAGCATCGTTCCATGAACTGAAAGGTTGCCAGTTCAATTCCCGATCAGGGCACATGCCTAGGTTGTGGGTTCCATCCCGGGTTGGGATGCATATGAGAGGCAACTAGTTGATGTTTCTCTCTCACATCAATGTTTCTCCCTTTCTTCCCTTCCTCTCTCTCTCTAATCAGTAAATTTAAAAAACATTTTTTAATGTGGCTGGAGTAACTATGAAGCCAAGTTTTTCACTTAATTTATTTCACTTTAAATTTAAAAACTGATAACACAATTCAATTACTAAAAAGTTTCAAGTACATTTGAAATAACTGGGGTGTACAAATCAACTTTTCAATGTTAATTTAAGAAATCTAAATCAAGTACTTACAATAGAAATTTAGTGTCTGAACTGAGGTGTAATCAGTGGGAAATATACATGCCAGATGTCAAAGATAATGCAGAAAAATAAATGACAGCTAAGGGAGGAGGGGAGGGGGAGGGGGATTGAGCAAAAAGGAAAAAGGACTCATGGACACGGACAACAGTGTGCGGATGGCGATGGGGAGGGGGTATAAGAGGACTAAATAGAAATGAAAAAAATACAATAAAACTATTAAATAGTAAAATTTTATATCAATTACATGTTGAAATATTTTCAATTTATTGTTATGTATCAAAATTAATTTCACCTATTTCTTTTTACCTTACGGCAGCTATTAGAAAATTGTAAGTTATGGATGTCACTCTTCTTGCATTTCTACTGGATTTCTAAGGTTGAGATGCTGAAATGTCAGTGTGGGACACAAGGAGAACCGCTAGTGTGCTCTGCATGCCCAGGCCAGCGAAAGCCGGGAAGGCGGCAGTGCCCGGAGCTGTGGACGGTTTGGCTCTGCGCACTGTCTTAATTGTGTCACTATGTCTCGCACATACCAGCAGGCAGCATTCCCATTTACTGAGCACTTCGGTGCCAGGACCGTGCTAAGGACATATCGTGCATTTTCTCACTTCATTGTCACAATAACCCTACGTGAAGGGAAGTGTTACTGTCCTCATTGCACAGATGGACGGGGAGAGTCACGTTTAACAAGGGAAAGCGAATTCCCCAGTCATACAGGCCACGGGTTCAACTCTGATGCCACACCTGTGTACTTTCTTATATTACATTACCTTTTGGTGCAGCTATTTTTTAAAAAAACATTGTTTTGTTTTGTTTTTTAAGTGAATGAGGGTACCAGAAGAAGTATTTTTGGGAGAAATATTATGTACATTTAAAAAGTAGCACCATGTGGAAATTATTTCCACTACAGGCATACCTCATGTAATTGCACTTCACTTTATTGCACTTCACTGATGTTATGTTTTTTACAAACTGGAGGCAAGACCCACCACTAGCAAAAAAACTATGACTCATTTTATTATGATACTTGACTTGCTTTATTATGATACTTGATTTATTGCCGTGGTCTAGAACCAAACCCTCAATATCTCCGAGGTGTGTCTGTCCCTTCAGATTTTTTTTAAAGGATTAATTTTCATAGGAAGGTCTAAACGGGAACTGTTTCACTTCCATCCCCAACTTCACAAACATAAAAGGTATAATTTCGTTAAAAATCAATCCATCAATCAAAAGGTCCCAGACAAGAGGAGGGTGAACAGGGTGGGCCTTCTGGACTGCAAGTTAGGAAGAAGCCTGGGGAGGCGCAGAGCAGGCCCTGGGCTTGCAGTCAGGAATCCTGGGTTCCAATCCGATGCTGGAGGACCCCAGGTAGATGGCTCAGCAGACGCAGCATCTTGAGCAAAAGCCAAGACAGACGGAGACTGCCAAAAGGGCCGAGGACTCTGAAGCCTAAGCTGGGGTGGGAACCGGCAGGAGATGGGGGACCGACAGGACTGGAGAGGGAAGTGAGGACAGTGCCTGCATTGTCACCTGGACTAAGGTGCTGAACTTCACCAGGAAGACCACCAGAAGCCTCTGAGGGAGCCTTAAGCCAAGGAGTGAGGTCTCTGGATCTTGTATTTTTAAAGCTCTCTGGCAGCATGGTAGCAGAGGACAGAATGGGGGAGGAAGGGAAAACAACAGTGAAGCTATTTCAGTAACCGAAGAGAAAAGATGAGGGCCTTCATTAAGGAGCTCGCAGGTGAGATGCAGAAATAGAGGCAGATAGAAAAGATTTTGTGGAGCAAGAAATGACAGCTCATGGTGGTTGCTTGGATATGGGAAGCGCGGTGGACAGGAAATGTCACCACCTGGACCCCCAGGAAGGATGGACTTGCTGCCCATGGCGGGCATCAGGTTAGCAGACAGCCTCCAGCTGGCAGCTCCTCAGGTCCTTTGACAAGGTGAGGTGTTTCCCAGGGTGGCTGTACCTGGTGACAGCAAAGTGGGGACAGAAGGGCTCAGATGGGCACCACTCGCTCCAGAGAACTCTGCTGGGCGGGCCACGGCGCTGTGGGACTGCATCATGGTTCCACGTCTCCCTCTGCCCAGTCCTATTCACTCTCCCTTTCTTTCACAGGAGGCCACCCTTGACCAACATCTTACACCCCTAAAGCTGGCACAACCTCTGCCTCCAGAGAACCCAGCCTAAGGCAGCGAGCCAGGCCTTGTCCTCAGTCCAGTGGTCTAGGAATGAAAATAAATATGCACAAGGATTAACATCCCTCCTTTGAACTGGAACTACAGCCTTCAGGGATATCTCTCTGGACCCCAAGGAGGAAGAAGGTTTGTTTATCTAGAGACCAAAAGGCAACAGCTTGGTGTAACGCAGGATGATACCCACAGGTGGGCCTCTGGGAGAAATCGCCCACCAGATCATACCTGAGTTCATCTGCCAGAGATGCACTGAGGGGACTAGGGGAGCTGTCAGAGGCAAGCTTGCGTGCATCTTGACAACTTTTCCAGAAATAATCCTCCTTCCACCATAAAATTAAATTATTCACAGTATCAGTTTTCCCAGAGTTAATCAGGGCTTCACCTCCTCTGCATTCACAGTCTCTTCTAGGTTTCATTCAACCATTCATATGTGCATTTTAACAAACACTTCAATAATAATAATAATGATCCCCATGTATTTTCGCCTACCCTGTGCCAAGATCTAGACGTGGGGTATAAATGC